ACTTTGAGAACCAGTGCATTAGAACTACTAGGTCCAATACAGTAGCCAATACATGTGGCTATTTAAATTGAAATTAAATAAAATGACATGAAATTTAAAATTTAGTTTGTTAGTCCACTAGCTTGATGTATTTCAACTGCTAATTAGTATCCATGTAAGGATGTCCAAACCTACAGAATATTTTATGTGAGCTTATTTGAGCCAAACTGAGGACATGCTTGGAAGCAAGATCTCAAAAATTCTCTGGAGAGTGGCAGTTTGGCAGCTCTTTTTATGCATTTGGGATCAAGGGAAGGAAAGTAAGGAAGAAGACAGTAAGAAGATTGAGGAGGGGCCAATCTCTGATGGGATAAAAAGTAAAAACTGAGGGAACATTTACAGTAAGCAGGGCTGATATACTGGCAACAAGATCATGTGCTCCCTGGAAGGTGGTTAGAGGGTCTGGAAAAGAGGATTACTCTGATGTTGCAGAGATTTGTTAATGGAAATGCACAAGAACAATGGACAGAACTTCCTTAAGGTAAAGATAAACCTTTTATGAAGGAAGTTATAGGCCTGGGGTGTGACTGCCCATCTCCACCTGCCCAGCTAGTAATTCAAGGTCAGATCACCCTGGAAGTTACTTTCAGTCACTGAGCTTGTCAGATTTACTTCATAAGCTCCTTTCTCATTCACAACAGTCACATGTGGTGAGAGGTCACAGTATTGAACAGCAAATATACAGAAAGTTTTCATCATCGCAGAAAGCTCCTTTGGGCAACAGTGCTCTGGAACGAACACTACATGAAGATGGATTTCTTCCCCCCACCCACCCTCAACCCCCTGGAGTTGAATGCTCATATTTATATATATGGTCTACTTGGAGCTGCTTTAGTGTAAGGAGTAAAGTAGATAATACATTACTTCTTTTTTTTTAAGCATATAAAATATGTGTTAGTGAGAACACTTTCTCACCATCTTTAAATGAAAAGGATTTGTACTTTTTAATCTGAAACTACTCTGGCATTAGGTTTTAATTGCTTCCTGATCCACAGGGCCTGGATGTACCACTAACTGCCACCCTGTATCTTGAGGTACCTGTGAGCCTTGTCCTTCTTTGTTGGAAGAAGTCCTTGTGGTGGCAACCTCAGGGGCTTAATTCTTACCAAATGTTTAACCACTTCCAGTTTTGCATTCACTTGTGAATTTGAGGAGTATGCACTTTTTCTAACCCAAGCATCTTTACTACATTTTCCTACAATATGAGCATCTTTTCCTACTTTTTATCCTGGTAAGCAGTCTTTGAGAGTGCTCTGGATTCCTACCATATTTTTTCAAGATATGCAGTTGAAGGCTGAAATGCTGTATCTGGAATTCTTGACTTGGTAAATTTGTGACAGATTTAATCTGTACAAATGAGACTCCACACCTTTTGTCACAGATTGTAGTCTCCCTGGGGCCTCTGAGCAACTGAGCTCAAACTCCTGGCCTGGAGTGTGGGGACTGTTCCCTGTAGAGACCACACCAAGAGGCAGAGCAAAGGAAAGACCAATATGTAACTTTTTTCCGTCAGATGGCTAGTTTTCCCAATACCAGTTGTTGAAAATTTAATTCTTTTCCCAGAAATCTGAAATACCATTATTATATGCAGCATTAAATTCCCACCTGTATTTGTCTGTTACAGAACTTTCTGGTCTATTGCATTTGTCTTTCTGGGAAGAAGAATATTTTCAAGGCAAAATTGACTTCTGGAATTATTGAATAAAGATTTAAACTTAAAATTATAGAATGAGAGAATAAAGTCAAAGAAGTTCTGTGATTACTAGTTGACTTTTGAAGAAATATTTTTATTAGAAAACATCTAGGTAGTGCTGAGTTCAAAGGTCATGATAAAGCTCTAGTCAGTATGAAACCTTTTTTGCCTTGAAATCTGGTATAGTGTGCAATGATTTGTTCATATAAGAAATATCCAAACCTGTGGAGGATTTTTATAGGAGTTTATTTAAGCCAAAACTGGTGATAGCTGCTAGAAGCAAGATTTCAAATGCTTGGGAGAATTGACAGTTTTGCAGTTTCTTTTATGCATATGAAATTAAGGAGGGAACCAACAGAAGATTACAGGAAGGTGGAAGAAAGTGAGACAGGGATTCACTTGCAGGATAATTAAGATTATGTGCTCTCCTGAAGGCAGTTAGGCTTATTTCAAAGATGTGTTAACCTAGATGCATAGAAGCAATGGACAGGGCTTGCTTAAGGCAAAGATAAACCCTTTACTAAAAAGTGATATGCCCAGGGCATGACTGCCCACCAGAACCTGCCCATAGGAATCTATGATCAGATCACCCTGTGAGGTCACATTCCCTAGTTCACGTTTTTTTATCCACAGGTTATAGATGATCAGATCAACTGAGGGAATAAGCTATTTTTATAATATTCTTGGCTCATTATCCACCCCATCTATTAAATTAGAAAATTAATGTATCACAGACAAAAAAGATAATTTATTAAAGCATTCAGAAGGGTTAAGTAAGAGTATATAGAGAACATTAAATTGTTTTTACCTTTAAAAATAGAAAATATATTTTTTTCTTTAAATGTCTGTACATCAAAGGATATAAAATGATGGCACAAAAATAGGGATTAACAGAAACAAAACAACTTCACATCAATAACTAGTTTTCAGTTTTTATTGTGTATTTCTAAAGAACTGAACATTTGAGTTTTTAAGTTCTAAGGAACTATACATTTAAGAAAAGTGTTTGAAATGTAAGCTTTAGTATTTTTATGTTTATTACTTGACACATTTATATATAGAGAGAAGTATAATCTGGACATACCACCATTTACTCATAGATAATAGTGGACAGAGCTCCATTTCATTGATAGTGAAAGTTTTCTCTTCTTTCAGCGTAACTGTATCTGTCATTGTATTTACCTAAACATTGCCTAATCCTTCTTAACCATACATACTCTCAGAAAAAGAAGGTACCATTTCCAAGTTGAGAATTGGTGTATAGCATCAAAGTGCTTGCATACAGTACTATGTTACCAAAATATTGACTTCAATAATGCCATTATGGTTGTCTCCCTTCAGGTGAGATTTAGTATGTACTATACAAAACCCAAATGTGGGCAATTATAAACAAATTTATATATAAGCAAGATAGGTCAAGAGAAAGACATAAAATTTCCAAATATTATTGTGAAATCATCTAATAAGACATAGGAAATATATTTTGCGGACTGGAAATTTACTCCAGAGAACATTTTTTTACAGAGGAACATTGAGTCTTCTGTTTATTTTTCTTGATATATGTATAATGGGGTACCACTTGTACGTGGGGGAGGAGAAGGAAGGTAAATGTACCATTGTGAAGCATTCCTCTTTATCCTGTGGACACTGGAGTGGCCTAACAGTGGCCACAACCACACAAGGTGAGGTAGGGAACGGAACACAGACCATGTTTGAGAATCTTTCTGATGTACGACGTGGTTTTGACTTCAGCATTACCCAGTGTCAGACCCCTACCCTTCCTCAGCAGGAGACCGCCTCTCCAGAGACCTGAGGACTCCATTTAGGAGAATAAGGATTAGGTATATGTGAAAACAGAGGTACTAAATTAAAATCAGCATACTGAATGGTGAAATTCCTAGCCTCATTTCCCTGTCTGAAAGCCAGTAGCCAGGATCATATCTTTAGCCAAGAGATTGGGATTTTTTTTAACTGACATTTGTATTTCTTAGTGGAAACATTAGTGGCCATCTGCTTACCCTCAAATGAAACTCATCAGCTTGTACCTCAATCCATGAAAATAGGGCTTTTACACTGTGTTTTAGTGCCTTGGTCTTAAATCTGAACTACCAGCTCAGGATCATCCGTCATTTTAGGAAAGCACATCATACAAAAGATTCTTTAGAGCCTTTCCTTAAGAGCTGGCAATTAAGAAAGACTCAGAGACCACATTGTTCTGTTGATAGCATGAAGGAAAACACAAGACTGGGTGAATAATTGATTTTGTGGAGAGGGGAGCACAAAATTGAGAATGTTTCTGGACCTCAACTTGAGTGTGCAATTTCCTATAGAAATAGATTCTGTATTCCCATTAGCATTTAAAATGTAATCATTTTTTGAAATTACCTCATGCATTTACTTGATTACTTTTTTATTGTTTAGCACCAGAGCCCATCAGCTTTCTGTCAAGGGCCAGATAGTAAATATAATTAGGCTTTGTGTGCCATACGGCCTCAGTCTTGTCCTGTTCAAATCCCATTGTGACACAAAAGCAGCCCTAGCTATTATGTAAACAAATGAGCGAGACTGTATTCCAATAAAACTTTATTTAATAAAACAGGCAGTGGACCCACTTTGACCTGAAAATTATAGTTTGCTCACACTTGGTCTAGTCCACCTAGTAGTATTTGGTCTGTGAGAGCAGGTGTGCCACATACTTGTGCTGTGTGTCTAATGCCTTGAAAATATTAAACGTGTTTGAATGAATTAAGAAATTTGAACTACACTTTTCTTTGGGATTTTGTGTGCTTACCCATGTAGATATTTACTATGCTTTTCAAAGTGCAAATGGTAGCAGTTCTTCCTAATGCTTTATTCTTATGGGAACTTTGGAATATAATCAATTTGTAACTAAAGACTGCTAGTAAGTATTCCAAATAATATAGTGAAGGAGCATCTGCTAAACTACGTGACTGCTTCTGGGTAAGTAAAGGACTTTTCCTTCTCCTGAGATTTATAACATGAAGACACTTTGGCAGATAAAATATAGATGATTGTAAAACCAACACTAGGGTCCAAGCTCTTTTGAATACTACTCGGGACATGTTAAGAAGTATAATTTTGTTGGCTAAAATATAAGTAGTTCGATTTTAAGCTGCTTTCACACATACTACTTTGTTGCCCTGTTTTATTACATATACTGAAAACAAGATGCCCTAAGAAAAATGCTTGGAACAGTGACTTTGACAGTTGATGAAATTGTGCTCTCAGTGTTGCCCTTGTTTTACAGTAAACCTATGATGGACTTGCTGATATTCCTCTGTGCCCAGTATCACTTGAACCCATCAAGTTACACGATCGATCTGCTGTCAGCTGAAAAGAACCCCATCAAATTTAAGCCAAACACACCAATAGGAATGTTGGAGGTGGAGAAAGTAATTTTAAAGCCAAAAGTTTTGGATAAGAAAAAACCTACACCTATAATACCAGAGGTAAGAATTTCACTGTAGATTTTGATATCTTATGGCTAAAATAGTAAGTTATTTTTCAGTCATTATTTGCAGTTCTTTATAAATAAAGTATAAATTGCCTTTCCTGGTCAAATTTGAGGTGAATATGGTTGTCATGTTTCCCTAGACCACTTTGTTTAGGGTTCAGTTGGTTATTGATCCTTGGGCTAAGTAGCATTTGGGGAATATTTAGATTTTTGATGCTCTGAAGTGACCTATATGACAGTATTAGAATCTGGCAATTATAAATGATCTATACTTTAAGCTATTCTTTTAGAAAGTATTTTGTACATAAAGGAAGGTTTTGAACCTTTTATTAAAGATTTATTTGGGTCTCTCTCTCTCCCTCCCCCTCCCTCCCCCTCCTTGCCCCTCCCTGCCCTTCCCCCTGCCCACACCCCTTTCCTTTAGGCCTGTCTCTTTGCTGTCTTTCTCCTAAGCTCCAATGGCCCTTCTTTTGCCTCTGTAACTTGTTTCCTGAGTCCGCGCAGCCCAGCTGGCTCACTCCTTCTACGGCTTACTACTTCTACCTCTGTGATTTTCTCAGTAAAGTTAAAAAAAATTTATTTAAGAACTTATTAAAATAGTTTTTTGGCTTCATTTAGTTGGTAAGTGATGGTTATACCTTACTGACATCTACATTAGTGTTCATTTGAGCTACATAATGGCTCACTTTTCTGAAATGTATGTATTTTAAGCAAAAATTTTGAATAATATTCTAATATCAATTCTTATATAATTGACTTCATTCTATAAGCAATAGTGGTACAAACTAATGGGGTTTCAAGAAATACTCTTTCATTAGGAGCAACATTAACCATTTTTAACCTCAGAAAATATATAGAGGTTTATATATTAATAGTTCAATGACAAATGACTTGTACATGTATTCTCACATTTTCTTCATATTCTTAAAAAGCTGTTAATAAAGAAGTTAATATATTTATAATCCTAAAACATATTTGCTTTCTTCAAAATGTGATTGGATATTAAATATTGATTAGAGTAGTGGGCTATATACCTAGATATGTGGGCCGTTTAGATACAGTATTTATGCTATAGCGTGGGATCATATGTGCTGTTTGTTTTATGAATTCATGTTAAGCTTTGAAGATCAGCAATCTGTAGACTTTACTTGGCGTGGTCACATGTTTCAAAGTTCTGATTATATCCAGTATTTAATTCAGTTATATTAAATGATCAGATTCTTAAAAATCTCAGTAATTTTGAATTCATAACATTAAATATGTAATGGACATTTTAATATTTTTTACTAATGTGTTAAAATTAGCCAGAATAGTAATAATATAGTGACAGCAATAGGTAGTCACAATAGCTAATTTTTTTTATTGATAACTGTGTGCCAGCCACTATGCTAAGCTCTTTATATGCATTATCTCATTTAACTTATTTCAAATGGAGATAAGTTAAAAACTTTTAGTGTTTTAGCCAAAATTCCCCTTTTTTATTGAGACAGCTAAAAACTATTAAAAGATAAATATCCCTCAAATAAGGGATGGAAAAAAAACATGTATAATTCTGTATTTTGAATATTTATTAATTTTAAAGTAAATATTTTCAGGAACAAAACAAAAATACCCATGGTTCTTTTTGGACTTAAACTTAATACTTCCTAAGGGTTGTGAATTTAGTCTAGATTATTTAATACGCAAACTGTTTCTAAGAATCTAATTTGGATTTAGGAAGTAACATTAATCAAAAAGAATTCAGTTTATTTCAGCAAATTATAGTTTAACTATGGCATTAACCTGTGTTTCAGAAAACTGTGAGAGTAGTGATCAATTTTAAGAAAACGCAGAAGACAATAGTGAGAGTTAACCCACATGCATCACTTCAAGAACTTGCTCCCATTATATGCAGCAAATGTGAGTTTGATCCAGCACATACACTGTTGTTGAAGGATTATCAGTCTCAGGAGCCCCTCGACTTGACAAAGTCTCTTAATGACCTGGGACTCAGAGAATTATATGCCATGGATGTCAGCAGAGGTAAGACTTGTTGTTTTCTTCATTTGTCAGGATGTGTGTATGAAAGGTGGGCAAAAGTAGGTTCACAGTTGTGAGTACATGAAACACAGTTTGTTCTTATATTATTGTTCATTAATTATTGTATTATTTTTCATGCAGGCAACTAACTACAAACCTACTTTTGCTATACTCTCTGTACGGATATATGTGTGTGTGTATTATGTTTATGTGTAGTTCTTCTCAAGTTCATAATGGCACTTTAATGGCTCCTAAAGGGATCCTATAGATAGGAGTCAATACATAACATTAGAAATAAGAAGAGAACACAAAATAAATTTTATTTCAGTTATTGAAATTGAAATCAAAACTTGTCTTTTTTAGTTGCATCATATTTTACAAATTTTCATCTACCTATGAATATATTTTTGGTGTAATTTAACTTAATTCTTTGTGGCTTTGAGATTTAAACAGAAAATAAAAATTTACATGTAAATGTATTGTTGTTCTAATCAACTGTGAATTACTGTAGGCTCACTATGATTTTGTCTGAATCTTAACTAGCAGCATTCAGGTTTGGAAGTTTCTTGTTAAATTTTTTTCTAAGGTCAGCACCCAAAACCAACAGGCTTATAAAATGAATCAGTTTAATTTCAAAACTTTTCTAAATAGAAATACTTTTCAGTATTAATCTATATAAAAATTTAGTATATTAAAATTGGGAGATCTTAGATAATGTTGGTTTCCATGATGTGTAATAGAGAGAGAAACACAAGCTCATTTTTTAATATGAATCTTTTATTGGAGAAATAAACAGTTTAGTAAAGGAAACAATTACATCTTCTATGCATAAAAAACTGCAAACTTTATCCTGAGATTGAGGCTTTATGTAAATCCATAGTCAACTATTTCAACTCAGTGATGTTATGTACTTGAACAAACATCATCTTTAAGTCAATTTACCCTCTTTTACCTCCTCCTCTGTAGCCACTTCTGTTACTGCCTTCCGTAAATCATCTGTACAAGGTAAGATATATGAATCAGCAGAAACAAATTATAGCATAAAATCTCTATTTCTGTTGGGTAAATTGAAAATAAGCTTTTAATTTTACCTTCTTAATATTACTAATGTATACAAAATTTTAACTTAGATAATCTTTGTGTTTTCCTGAAAAATCATTTATAAAACCCTCCTTGATTTCTCAATTTTAATATAATAATTACATTTCAATAATTGTTTTAAAATTAATATTAACCTAAGATGTAAAAAATATATTCTTAACTCTTAAGAAAAAATGATTTTGCTAGGATCTTTATTGGGTACAAATGCCAATAGTTTGATGGTGTTATGAAAAGATCTTAGATTATTTTCATTGAACTATTTTTTATAATAATCAGGACATATATATCATAGGAAATTTTTGCAACCATTACATTGTGAATATTTTGTAATAACTTGGAAAATGGCTTATACTAAAATGAGCTTTTAAAGCATTTAAATGTGTTTAATAAAGTTGTAAAAAACTTTTACATAAAATTTCTGAAAGTAAATACATAAAACATTTTTATAGTGGTTACCTTTGGGTGGCAGGGCATTGGGTTTCTTTCTATTTTTTAAATTTATATTATAAAATTTTATAATGGGAATATATTACTTTCATAGTGAAAACTTTATTAAAAATAGCCAGTAATAATAAAGTCTGAAAGTCTTCCCTCATTAAAAAGGGATAGGGTCAGAGAGTTGATTACTTTAATAATTACCACCCTACTAAAAAAATACACCATAAACTATACACATTGTTTGTTATTGGAATCTTTTTTCTTTTCCACTTTCAATTTTTCCAGAGCACAATGAGCCTCTCAAATCCAAGAATTAAGCCCACATAGGTAATAGCATGATTAATTCTTATTAGTGCCTGTCATGAATATGAGCCTAATCAAAGGAGCTGAAATTTCTTACTTAAAGTCTATACTGATTAATCAGAGGGCAGGTATTTTAATTGACAGGACATGAGATATCAAGCTTATTTAGCAAACAGGGCAAATAGCTTTATCTCTCTGGATCTAAACTTCTACTTTCATCATAATAAAAAGATTAGAAAAAGTTATCTTTGTTGTTTTTCACACTACAATATTCTGTTACTTATACTTGACTTTTGCTCCTAACTTTGCCATTCTCCATATACATAACCCAAAGTGAATTCTCTATTCTTGTCAACCTCATTTTGAAGGCATTGAATGCATTGATTTCTAATATCTCTTCCAGCCAAAAATATATATGGTTTATTCAGAGTATTAAATACTATCTATGAACATAACCATAAGACAATAGAATAGGAAAATTAAGAAAGCTCTATTACAGTGTCAGAATCTACAAGGTCGGGCTAATTGCCGTCTCCTAGTTTTATCTGTTGTTATCAGAGGGCTTAGAACTTTGCATGCCATTACTTATATAGCGCCTCTACTGGAAAAAAGAACTTGTAGTATTTGAGTTGCTTTCTAAGTAAGCTGAAGCGCTTGTTTGTCTTAGTGTTTAACTCTAATATTCAGGGATCCCTGACATAAAGCAAGTGAAGACTTAGGGGTTAACTGGTGTAGAGGGCGAATGGGCACCTGGAAATTACTTTACTGAAAATAACTATATGAAATATTCTGGTTTTAATTATTGGACTGTACCAGCATGTGAATTTTCCATCTACTATTCCAACTAAATTTAATTCTATGTCAATATACAATTAGTGGAGGATTCTTTCTTAAAATGAAATAGTAGCATGCATTTTTAAAAAGTAAGAGGAACTGTAAATCATCTTTAAATGGATACCAGTCTCACTCGTACCATTAAATGTCCATATATCTTGGTGGAAGTTATTTTAGCTCTCCAATCACCTAGGTCCTCAGATATATAATGGACAATAAAACCAACTTCCATTTCTTTACATGCTCAAACCTAGGAAAAGGACTCAGAGTGATAACTTATGATATCTCCCTAACAGAATTGTTCCAAGAAATAAATTAGGCATGTAAAAAATTGTTAACCCTAATGTGCTATTCACATGTTGATGATTATTAGTTGTTCATTGTACCAAGTGAATACTGCTTATTTAACATTTGAAGCATCAGATTTAAAGTTTTATTTTGTGAAATATAGTTCTCATTTAATATGTTATTAAGGCATATTGCATTAATTTAGTTACTGGCATTAATTAATTTTGCTTTCCTGGGATAGCCCTACTTTGTCATAATTTAATTTTTTTAGCATTCTTTTTAAGTAAAAATACTGTACATTTACCCCTAAGAAGTATGCATTTAAGATATAAATTTATTTCAGACTATTCATTTACCTCCAATTGCTGCTTTAGCTATATCCCACCAGTTTTTATTTGTAGTGCTTCGTTTCCTGTGTCACGGAAATTATACTGTGATTTGCCATAAAACCCATATGTTTCTTAGTTGAGATATTTTTAAAAATTTACAGATCTCTATTCCTTATTTCTCTATTAAAAAAATTATTTATTTATTGAGTGAATCAGGTCATTTGTCTTACACAGTTTTCCATATTCAGAATGTTGCTAATTGCATCCTGTGATGCCACTTAGCATGTTTCTCTACCATATTTCCTATAAATTGATTGTTAAATCTAGAATCTTGATCAGATTTGGTGAGATATCTTTGGCAAGAATATTTCACAGGTGGTATTATGTACTTCCATTAGCAGACATGTAATGACAAGTAATCTTTTTTGGTGTTAGTCATAGGTAATTATTGCCTATATTTTGGTCAGGAGTTGAAAAGTGGTCATAATCCATTGCAAACATTCCTTAATTAGTTGAGATTTTTCTAAGAAATCAAATTTCCCCATGTCGGCTCTTTTTCTGTCTAGGTGGAATTCATTCAGAAAAGTCAGAAAAGTGTGTTTCTTACCTTTCATTAGTTTTTAAAATAATGATTCCCTAGCTTTACAGAAAGATAAGCAGTGAGGATCAGTTACTTTTTTAGTATTGCTATGAATGCATGGAATTAAACATGTAATGTGTTTTACTTTATTGAGTTATTCTTAAGATACCAAATTGTCTGGACTTTTGCCAGTAGAAACCATATAAGATTGGTTCTTTTAAAACCAGCCCAGTAGATTTTGCTTGCTTTCTCTCTGGTATGACTAGCTATTCCAGGCTCAACTTACACATTCTTTGACAGTGATGAGAAATCAGCCATTCTTTAATAATTTTTTGTTCCAGAAAATATTTTTCTTTTGATTTTTTTCAACCACCTAAAAATGTGAAAACAATTCTTAGCTCATGGGTTGTATCAAAAAAGTGGTAGGCTTGATTTGGTCCATGGGCCATAATCAGCTGAATCCTGCTCTAATGTAAACAAATTTTACATTATATAAATGATAAAATTTACCCATTTAAAGTGTACAACTCAGTGGTTTCTACTGTGTTCACAGAGTTGTGAAAATGTCACCATGATCTTATTCAACACCCTAAGAAGAAACCCTGTACAGTCATTACCCATTCCTTTCGACTCCATACTTCAGCCCTAGGCAACCACTTATCTACTTGCTGTCCTTATAACTTTGCCTGTTCTGCTCATTTTATATAAGCAGAATCCTACCAGATATGGTCCTTTGCATCTGGCTTCTTTCATTTAGCATAATGTTTCAAGGTTCATCCTTATTACATATATCAGTATTTCATTCCTCATTGTTCACAAATAATATTCCATTATATGGATATACATTTTATTCTGCAGCTGATGAATATATGGTTGTTTTCACTTTTGGCTGTTATGAATAATGCTGCTATAAAAATTCATCTGCAAGTTTTTGTGTAGACATGGTTTTTATTTCTCTTGGATATATACATAGGAGTGGAACTTCTAGGTCATATGGTAACTCTCTGTTTAGCTTTCTGAGGACCTGTTTTCCCAAGAGCCTATACAAATTTACATTCCTATCAGCAGTGTATGATGTTTCCAATTTCTCCACATCCTTGCGCAATACCTGTTATTGCCTGTCTTTTTGCTGATAGTCATCCTAGAGGTCATGAAGGGGTATCTCATTGTAGTTTTGATGTTGAGCATCTTTTCATGTGCTTATTACTCATTTGTATATCTTCTTTGGAGAAATGCCTGTTCAAACCTTTGCTCATTTTTAAATTCAATTGCCTTTTTGTTGTTTACTTGTAAGAATTCTTTATGTATTCTGGATGAGGGTCCCTTAACAGATATGTGATTTGCAGATATATTGTTCCATTCTGTGTGTTACCTTTTCACTTAATGGTGTCCTTTGAAGCACAAAAAGTTTTTAATTTTGATGAAGTCCAATTTATCTTTTTTCTTTTTTCTTTTTTGGTCGCTTGTGATTTTGGTGTTGTACTGGAGAAACTATTGCTTAACTCAAGGTTCAATGATTTTTTAAAACTTCAATGTGATCAGTTTACTTCTTTCTTCAAACATCTCCAAAAGCTACTTATGACATTTAGAATAAATTCTTTTCTTTAAGCACTTTATTTATTTATCTTTTTTTAAAAAATTATTGTTCAAGTGCAGTTGTCTCCATTTTCCCCCCACCACTCCCCACAACCCCAGCCATCCCCACCTCCCTCCCACTCTCAATCCTACCCCCACTTTGGCTTTGTCCATGTTCCTTGATGACCCTTCCCCTTTTCCCTCTCATTATCTCCTCCCATCTCCCCTTTGGTTACTGTCAGTTTATTCTTAATTTCAATGTCTCTGGTTATATTTTGCTTGCTTGTTTGTTTTGTTGATTAGGTTCCACTTATAGGTGAGATCATATGGTATTTGTCTTTCACCGCCTGGCTAAGAATCAGTCATTCTTAAGCAACCATAGTTCCTTTCAGTGGGAAATGCTTAGAAAGACAGGCTGGGCCAGGGTGACTCAGCATTGCTGGCTTTGTCACTGTTTGGAAGCCTGTTCAGTTGACATTAGGAAATACTTTTGGAAAATTAAGTATTACATATGCAACCTTGAGGTTCGACATTTGCCATTCTGATTAAAGTGCGATTTCTCAGTTTTGGCACTATCGACATTTGGGGTCAGGTAATTTTTTGTTGTTGAGGGGCTGTCTTGGACCTTGTAGTATGTTTAGCAGCATCACTGGCCTCTACCCAGCAGATACGAATAACACATTCTCCCTACCCCATCCTAAGGTATGACAACCAAAATTTTCCCCAACATTGTCAGATGTCCTCTGGGGTGTGGGTGAAGGGAGATCATCCCCAGTGAAGACCCACTGGATTAAAGAAATATCATTTATGAATTATATCACAAAGTACTAAGTGACTATAATGAATCATGTTTTGGGAAAGAAAATATTTTTTGATAGTTTACCTCTGACACAAATATATTAAAAATAAACAAAGGGACAAACTGAATGTAGCAATTTGATATCTTATTTAATTCAAAGATTTTTACTTTAAATATTATTGGTAATTATGGAACACAGACTTCGAGTCACAAAGAACTGAGTTTGTCATAGCTCTATAATTTCTTGATTATTGGCCCCAAGTAAATATCTTAGTTTCTCTAAGCTTCAGTTTCCTGTATTGTGAAATAGGAGCAATACTTACTAAATTCACCTGTTGCTTTGAGAAGTCAATAAGATATAAGGTGTGTAGCAGAGTGCATGGCTCATAGTAGATCATAATTAGTAGCTTTTATAACTAGATAACATTTTCAAAGGAAAGAAATTGAGAGAAACTTGGAGCTGAATGGGTGCTTTTTTTCTCTCTTTTAGAGTCCTGCCAGATATCACAAAATTTAGACATTATGAAGGAGAAAGAAAACAAAGGGTTTTTCGGCTTTTTTCAACGCAGTAAGAAAAAGCGAGATCAAGTAAGCATGTCCTTATTTATCATTTTATAAGAGCCTTCTAATCTATTTTTAATCGCATGTGCTGTTTATCTTGAATTTACATATAGATTTTGCTTTTTCATCTTTATTAGACTGCCAGTGCCCCAGCAACACCTCTAGTGAGTACTAACCGCCCGACTTTTACAAGGTCCAATACCATTTCCAAAACATACATTTCAAACACCCTGCCATCGGATGCGCCTAAGAAGAGGCGGGCTCCATTGCCTCCAATGCCAGCATCTCAGAGTGTCCCTCAGAACCTCGCTCATGTCCAGGAGAGGCCAGCTTCTTGTGTAGTGAAATCTGCGAGTGTGGATGAAACAGATAAGGTGCGTAACTTTGTTTTGTTTTGTTTTGTTTTGTTTTGTTTTGTTTTGTTTTGTTTTAGGATAGGGTATAGGACTTTACCTAAGTTGTCTTTTTCCATATATGCTACTTAATAAGGTTAGTAACAGTTACTAATATGTAGAAAGGTAAATAAATAGTTAACTTATAGGATTGATACTGGGAGGAGATTTGCTATATCTGCACAGTTCTCTGATGTAGTAAAGAATAAATACATCCATTTTAAGTGGCTTTGACATTCAAGCAAATAAATCATCCATAAACCAGCACTTTAGATCAGTTTAAGGTGCTGTTCTATTAAGGCTCAATCAGAGGATCTTGTTTGTATATATTAGGGGTGGAAATACTTAGTTTTGAACAACAGGTTTTTTGTTTTATTTTTTAGCAGCAACAAAGTCCTTGTATCACTTTAGTGAGCTTCTAACTAAATATACTTATATATTTTTTACCTTACTTGGAGAGTCTTGGGGAGGATTGTTCAAAACACTGTTCTAGGTGTACCATTTCCCCAAACTTTCTTATTGTTACTCCTCTTTAATCCCAAATTTCCTGGATTATGCTGTTTTGTTGAAATCCATTTCCAAAACTACTTTCATGCCCATAAAATCTCTACTTTCCTTGCTTTATTCATGTAAACTATAAATGAAATTTTAAGTAAATGTGATTGAACACAAGGCTATATACTTTGTTGCCTTTAATTAGATAAATGATTTAAGTAACTTTAAGAGCATATTTTATTTTGAGGTTTTTGAAATGATGAGATGTTTTCTTATAAGTAGGTGAAGGGTTTGTTTTCCCCCTCAGTACCTTACTAATCTCAATGTTCAGGTAATTTTAATTTTCCCAACAAACTAATGAATATGCTGTGTTTCCTTAAGTTAAAAAAATGATAACTGTAGATTTTAATTGTAATTTATCATATGTATCTTTTGAACATAAATAGCTACTATGATAGAAACAAACAAAAGATGCTTAAACTCAGTAGCTACTTGGAAAATCATCTAGTAACTTATTTTGTTTATTTCTATTAAGATTCTCTTATCTAATGGTTGTGGTAAAAATCTCATCTTACAAATCAGGATAATTATTTTTTCAAATGATACAACCAAATGAAAACTTACAAGTTTTCCAGGGTGACTGCATGGTAGTTGGGTGAAGTGTTCATAGAAGAGATGATTCAGTCTTAAAATATGTGTGGGAAGTGGGTTCGTCAGTCAAGAAAAACCCCATTCAAAGACGTAAGATGTGGCATGCCTGGGGATGAACAAGAAACAGATTGAAATTGAGTGAGATAAGCAGAGGCCAACTCAGGGTCGCCAAAGACTTCATTTTGTGGCTTCATAGTAAGTCACTAAAAAGGTAGCATTTTCAGGATTAATTACCAGAAAACTATAAACATAGGAGTATAAATTATAATATTCTTGAGTAACTACCAAAGTCTGTCTTTTTCTTCATAGAAAAATAAATCTTAGCCACTACTCACTAATCTTTATTCCAGCTGTGCTCATCCGATCTATTTCAGTAAACTTTCTTTATGGTTGTATCCCAAAGAGGTGTACGCTGTCTTTCTAGCAGTCTGCTTGCTAAAATTCTGGGCCATGCTACCAGTGACCTCGCCAAAAGCTATTTCTTTGATTCACACCCTCTGCTCTGTGACCAGCTGATGCCCCCATGTTAAGCAATCTTTATTTTTGTTTTTAGTATATTGCCTTTGGCAAACTAGACATCTTTATACAATTTTCTAATTAATTTTTTCTTTTGATGTGGCCATCTGGATAGTTCTTTGATGTATTGTTTAGCAGGACCCAGGATTATTTGTTTTTCCTTAGAGAAGCTGAAGAACCATTTTTTATTTATTCATTGTAAAAGTTCTTAACGATTAAGCTGCGGTTCTGTTTCTGAGTGTGTCTGTGTGCACATGTATGTAATGTGAATTCACGACCTCCTAGGCATCTCAGCACTCATTTCTTTAACTTCTTGGCTGTATTAGATGTATTAGATGAGCCTTTGGTCTTGATTTTGCTTTGTTCTTTGGTTCTGATTCTCTTCTGATAGCTCAATGGACCCCCTTCCTCCCTCCCTCCTTCCCTCCCTTCCTCCCTCCGTCTCTCTCTCCCTCTATCCCTCTGTCCCTCTCTATCTCCTCTTTCTCCTCGAAAGTACTACCTTTACCCATTTTCTAAATTTGGAGATACCTGAATCCATGATGTTAGCCTATATTTACTCTTCTAGAGCAAACATCTGTTCTTTGTTGAGTTATTAACTGTAATAGTTTGAATAGTGCCCCCCCACCCCCCAAAAAACAAAACAAAGGTATATCCCAGTCCTAACTCCCAGCACCCTGTGCATGTGACCTTATTTAGAAATAGTTTTTGCAGATATAATCAAGTATCTAGAGATGAGGTCACCCTGGATTTAGGTTGGACCTGAATCTAATGACTAGTGTCAAATAAGAAGCAGGGACACAGGCACAGAGGCAGCAAGGAGAAGGTGATGTGACAATGGAGGCAGAGATTGGAGTTTTGCCGTCACAAACCAAGGAATGCCAGGAGCCAGCAGAAGCTGGGAGAAGCATGGAAGGATCCTCCCCTAATGCTTTCAGAGGGTCATGGCCCTGCCAACACCTTGATTTCAGACTTGTGGCTTCCAGGTCTGTGAAAGAATACACTTTTGTTGTTTTAAGCAACCTAGTCATGGTAATTTGTCATGGCAGCCCTAAGAAACTAATACATCAATTTTGTAATTCTAGTCCCAATATATTTCCAGTTGTAGTTTCAACTCATGGTTGCTTATTGACTCATCACTACCTCAAAATCAGCATATTTGAGATCGAACTGCCTTTTTTTACTCCTGTATTGGAAAGCTCAAGATCATCTTTGATGTTTAGTTCTTTTTCTTTTCACGTCCAGTTAGTGAGAAATCCTTCAATCTCCCTTCATAATGTCTCCTTGCTCCTTACTTTCACTCTCTCTCCGGAAGTCATATTGTCTCCCCATTTCTTGCCTTCATGATAAAAGGAAGTAGTAAGCTGCTATATTTATATTCTATAATTAGCATTTTGCAGTTCAGAGACTTTGGATAGCTGTATGTTTACCTGTTACTTTCTGGGCATTCAAAGTATTCTACAATCTGATCATAATTTTGAGGTGAGGGACTTTCCTTCCTTCCTTTCTCCCTCCTTCCCTCCCTCCCTCCCTCCCTCCCTCATTCCTTTTTTCTTTCCTTCCTTCCCTTCTTCCCTCCTTCCTTCCTTCCTTCTTTCCTTCCTTCCCTCCTTCCCTCCTTCCTTCCTTCCTTCCTTGTCAGCTTTGTTGAGATATAATTGGCAAATAAAACTGTAAGATATTTAAAATATACATCATGGTGATTTGAAATATGTATACAATTTAAAGGAATTTCCACAAACTAGTTAATTAACACATCCATCACCTCACATATCTCTTTCTTTCTCTCTCTCTCTCACACACGACTATTGAAGTTCTATTCTCTTGGCAAATTTCACTTGTGTAGCAGTGTTATCAGCTATAGTCACCATGTTTTACATTACATCCTCAGACTTTATTCATCTCACAGCTGAGAGTTTGTCTCATTTTACCACCCTTTCCCTATTTCCTTCACCCCCTGGCAAGCTTCACCATTCTCTGTTTCTATGAGTTTGACTTTTTTAGATTCCACATATGAGTGGTACCATGCAGTATTTGTCTCTTTCATGTCTGGTTTGTTTCATTTTGTATTGTCCTCAATCTCTATCCATGTTGACATAGTGGCAAGATTTTCTTCTTTCTCATGGCTAAATAATATTCCACTGTGTGTGTATTTATATATACACACATATACACCTGTGTGTGTGTGTGTGTGTGTGTGTGTGTGTGTGTGTGTGATCACATCTTCTTTATGCATTCTTCCATACATGGACACTTAGGTTGCTTTCCATGTATTAGCGATCATTGGTGATGCTGCATTAACCTTGGAAGTGCAGGTATCTCTTCAATACCCCTTTTCCATTTTCTTTGGGTACATACCCAGAAGTAAGATTTCTGGATCATATCATAGTTCTGTTTTTAATTGTTTGAGAAACCTCCATACTGTACTCTATAGTGGCTGCACCAATTTACATTCCTCCAACACTCACAAGGGTTCCCCTTTTTCCCCACATTCTTACCAGCACTTATCTCTTCTTTGACAACAAAAGAGTTTAATTTTTTTCCATTACAGTTGACATACAGTATTATATTAGTTTCAAGTGTACAACATAGTGATAGGACATTTATATAACTTATGAAATGATCACCCCAACAAGCCGAGTATGCACCTGGCACCGTATGTCGTCATGACTGTAGTATGGCCTAGATTCCCTGCGCTGTACCTTAGTCCCCGTGACTTAACAGGTTAGAGGTGCTATCTCACTGTGGCTTTGATTTGCATTTCCCTGATGATTAATGGTGTTGAACACCTTTTTATGTACCTGTTGGCCATTTTTGTGTATCTTCTTTGGAAAAATTTCAGCGCCATTCCTCTGCCCATTTTTAATCCCATTGTTTGTTTTGCTGTTGAATTGTATGAGTGCTTCATATATTTTGGGTATTAACCTTTTATCAAATATGTGGTTTGCAAATATATTTTCCCTTTCTATAGGTTGCCTTTTCATTTTGTTGATGGTTTCTGTTGCTGTGCAGAAGCACAATTTTATTTTTAAACTTTAATTTCCCATCATTTCCAGTGTGTTTTTAACTCTAACCAGAGGATTTGACTTGTCAGTCATGCAAAATCCTGCTTCCTATCCTTTCTGAATAGATTAACCCCAAGCTCTGTCTCTTTGTTCCTACTCACCCATTCAAATTATACCTGTTCTTTTACTTGCTTTACAGAGAATTTTCTAAAGATTCCATCACAGAGTGATATTACTTTCTCTGAATTTGTTTCTCTTCTGCCTTTTCTTGGTATTAATATATGAATGTATGGAGGTATTATATTTATGTGATAC